AAGAAAACCCTTCCCTCTGAGACTCACAGTTTAGTGGAAAGAGTCAGATAGCTAAATAATTCCTGGCAAGTTAATTCAACTGGGAAAGTCAGAGTTCTTGGTATGACAAGTAGTTTACCAGAGAAGCAGAGCAAGGACTCCGTAGGTCACAAAGGGGACACTAATACTATGTAGCATGTGGTGACAGTGTGTTCCCCAAAATATTGTGCACCCTAATAAACTTATCTGGGGTCAGAGAACAGAACAGCCACTAGATACAGAAGTCAGAAAAAATGGTGGCACACACACCTTTAATCTTAGCATTCCTAAGGCAGAGATCCATCAGGATCTCTGTGAGTTCAAAACCACACTGGAAACAGCCAGGCATGGTGACTCACGCCTTTAATCCCAGGAAGTGATGGCAGAAAACAGAAAGGTATATAAGGCATGAAAACCAGGAACTAGAGCTGGTTAATCTTTTAGGCTTTTGAGCAACTGTTCAGCTGAGATTCATTCTGGATGAGAACTCAGAGGCTTCCAGTCTGAGGAAACAGGATCAGCTGAGGAATTGGCAAGGTGAGGTGGCTGTGACTTGTTCTGCTTCTCTGATCTTCCAGTATTCACCCCAATATCTTGCTCCAGGTTTATTTTCATTAATAAGACCTTTTAAGATTCGTGCTACACTAGCATGGCTGAGTATTTACTTGGATTGAATCTTATTCTAGATAGTACTTGTAGAGCACAGTCCTATTTATTCATCTAACAGCCTGTGAGCCAAGTACTCCAACTTTCTGTATGTTGTGGACATGGAATGGAGGCTCTTCTCACTTATGGGTCCAAAGTCATACAGAGGCATTCTGTATGATCATTCAAACTCAGGCCCCAAGCACCAGATTCTTCAAGCTAGCTGTTTTCAAGTTCTGTAAAGGAAAGTTAAAAGAGTAAGCATACATACTAAAAAGATTGATAGAAAGAACACAGTAGCAGCTGATGATCCCAGGAGGGTGGCCACTGAGTATGGTCATTGCGTCTGACAGAGGGATGACCAAAAAAGACTTTCCCACCAGGACCCCAGAGGTTGGAGTATCAACACTATGGTGTTTTGGAGACATGCTGGTACCTCATGAGGGGGATAAACATGTAAACATCACTTTTTTGTCTCTTGCTTCCAGCCTATACCCTCCCCCAACCCTTTCCTCAAATATGACTGTGGCACAGGGGCTGGTCTACTTTCTGGGAAATATAAATGTTCTTCATCTTGACCCCAGTTCTGCCTGGAATATCCCTCATCTCTACTGCATCCATCCTTCTCTCCCCCGCCCTCCCCCCACGCCTCAAATGAAAATAAAATACAATAATAGCAGCATGCTAGGGTACCCAATATGCTCCTCGTACAAGCTTGGTTAAACAAATCACTCTGACCTTTAGTAAAAATGTGCCAAATGCTTCCTTCTCTCATTCGATATGTTAATCTTCAGGCCAAACTGCCATCAGAGCAAGCCTCATTAAGTACAAATCTGATCAGGCCATCCCTGACTCCAAACTGCCTCCAGGCTGAAACCCAACTCTCAACAGTGCAGACAAAGGCCTCCTGCATGTGGTCTGTGTTGACCCTGCTAGCCTCATTTCCCACAACATCCCTCCGCCTGCATCCTGCCCACACTCAAGCTGTCCCTAAGTCCATAGCCCTCTAAACTCCCTTAGCTCTATCTCCAGCATGCCTCACCCCATGCCAGTCACACACTGATTACTTCCTGTCATTCAAGATGTAGTTCAGGGCAGCTCCTTCTTTCATCCTTTTCTGAGTCCCCCTCCCGCACCGCCCCCCAACTCCAGATAAAGCTGACAGCCCCTCTCCAAGCCTGCACATCACTGTCTGTGACTCCTACCTGCATTCACCTAATTATTCCCGGCTCATGTTCAGGGCCTAGGAATAGTTGCACCCAAGATGAGATAGATACCCAGCATAAGTTTATCATGTTAGTGACCGATGGAACTCAGGAGGATCAGTATATGAGTGTGTGCTGTGGACATTGTGGCTTTGTGATAGGAACATCTGATATCTCAGGTCACAGTACAGACTCGGCCCAGGCAGATTCCAGTTGCTCCTTTCCTCTTTGGTTTGTCCTGGGGCCTTAGTGTTCCCATGGAAAGTGTTAGTTTCTATTTAAATGTAAAGTTTTTTAAAGTTGCCAAGCATGGTGGTATATGCACATATGTATACCAACCAACACTTGAGAGATAGATGATTAGTAATGACTGGAAATCAATTAAGAGTACTTGCTGCTCTTGTAGAGGGCCTAAGTTCATTTCCAGAAATCACATCATATGGCTCATGACTGCCTATAATTCTAGCTCCAGGAGACCTGACACCCTCTTCTGGCCTATATAAGCCACACATCTATGTATACACAGACACATCAGTGAAAATAAAATATTTTTAAGAAGGGAGGAAGAAAGAAAAATGGAAAGAAAAAGTGAGAAAGAGGAAGAGGGGGAAGAAGAAATCCTTCATCTTAGGGTCAATGAAATTTTTCTCCAAGCCCAGGTTGGCTAATCTCTCTTTGAGCATTGATGGAGCCCTGGATGGTTCCTTGTACCACAGTGGAGTGAAAAGGTTTTAGATGGAGCAGGTAAATGGTAGATTTGTTTACATTATTTCAAACTACTAACTTGGTTGGTCTTCTACATGTAACAGTCAAGGAGCACTAAAACTAAAAACCCTTGGCAAAGCTGGTTCTTTCTTATCAGAGAAAGTTTGAACAACTCCTAAAGGAAAAAATAGAGGAGTGTCTTCACCTGTAAAAGTTGATTGACACCATGAATGCCTGTAGCAGTAGACAGTGCAATTGTCACCCTGGCATAGTCATCTACATATGTGTATTGCCATGTGCCGTCTAAACGGGAACAAGGCAGGCACTGCATCTCCCCTGTCCATTACTGTATCCTAAGGGCCTAACCCTGGGCCCAGCTCAATAGGTGCTTAGTGAATATCTGGTGAATTACTGAATGGCCTTGGCTTGCAGGTCAGGAAAACATACTCTGCAAGCACCTTCTTCCTCTATGGCTGTGGACTTTGTCTCTCTGGTCCTTATTCTTCGCATCACTGTGGATGCTTTCCTATATGTCTGACCCATCTTTCTGAGTATGAAGTTCCAGCTACATGTGACCATCTTTCCTTACACAAAACGGCACTTGAATGATGACATCAGCCACTGTAGCGTTAGTCCTTTCCCACTGGGAGTTGGACGCATCCAGAGGGACTCCAAGAGTGAACCAGTCTCATCCCTCTGCCAACCAGGCTTTGGTGCCCTACGGAGTCCTCTCCAGACTCGTAGGCTGGCCATATGGTGGGTGCTCTCAGCACACTGGGACATTTACCACCTCTGGAGACAGATCTACAATTCCCGGGGCATGAGAGCCACAGTAAGATGGGATCAGGGACTGAGAAAGACAAGAGGCTTGGACAGATGGTCGGGGAACACAACATTGAGAGACAGAAGCAAATAAAAGGTAAGGGAACAAGAGAAGCTGCAGAACTTGAGAAGGAGAAGCCAGAAAAATAAGAAGATGAACTGCCACATTATGGAAGCTGAGAGAATAAAGCAATAGTCTTCAACAAAGAAAGAGAAGTTGTTGAAAGAGAAAGGGTAGAATATATCAAAAATTGCAGACCCTAATACATTATCATTTTCTAAAAAAATTCAACCAATGCATTGAATAAAAAAAATTGGAAAAAAAAAACACCAAAATGCTAATAGTAATTGTTTGGAAAGATTAGAATTATATCTTTTTTTCTCTTTTATCCCCATAGTCTTCCTACGTATGCATGTTATTTTTAAAAATTAAAAACTATTTACTAACAAAAGATGTGGTACGTATAAAAGATCAGACCATCTGTATGGGCCTATGGGGCGGATTGGAGGGGGTTACAAAACAGAGGTCAGCTGTTGAACTTGAGCTTTGAATTTCATGGTAGGATTGGTCTGGTTAATTTCTTCCTAAAAGTACTTTCTTAATGTCCTTTTAATCAAGCAGTGTTCATAAATAAGAATGGCAACTGGACAACATATCAACAGGCCCTGAAGCCTTGACATAATTCCTATGTGTATTGGTTGTATATTTTGGCTCATGACTTCAGAGGTTTAGTCTATCATCCTGGAGAAGGCGTGGCAGAGAGAGCAATCCATCTGTGATGGCAGGAGCTTGAGGTGGAGCTTGAAGCAGACAGGACACAGACAGAGCAAGCTAGAACTAGGGGCTTGTTTGACATCAAAGGCCCACCTTTAAGGACCTATTTCAGTGAGCTAGACCCCAACCAAACCAGCCTTCAAAATAGCATGACAAGCTGCAGACCAAGCATTCAAACATGAGCTTGGATGTGCTGCTAATATAATGGTGTTCGGAGTTGCCTTCTAAAATGCGAGCCTGTAAGGGCATGTTTCAGGTTCAAACCATAATACTGTGCAGCCAGATGTTGGGGCACCCATGGCTCTGCAGACAGTCCTGTGGTAGGCTATGTTATTTCAACTCACCAGCATTCAAAGTCCCATCTTCCTTAAATCCCTGATATCAGTCTTAGTCACATGACTTCTTTGACCACCAAAATGTGATCTGAAGTGAGTGACACTGACTGCGTCTGGGATGAAACAATTTTAGAATCGCCATCTTTCACAAGGCTTGCTTTCCATTCTGTCAGTGTGACCTCCAAACCACAGTGCAACAACCACCAGTGGCTGGTCTACGAGTCTGAGTCAGAGTGTGAACAACGATGACCTGGAGGGGAGACCTCAGCCACCTGGACTGTTTGTAAACAATAAATAAAATTCTGTGGTTTAAAAAAATGAATAAGACACCAGCTAGGTGAGGAGAATAACAACGGGACTGTTTGTTACTGAAGATACTGACGGATACAGTCTTCCGAAAGCACAGTACATAGTTTAATACTATATAGAATAATGATGTATCAGCAATACTTCATCAAGATGCTAAGTTATGTTTTTAATTACCTTCCTTTCTAGATGATGCATATTTACTACAGGGACTTAATATAGAGGAACTGTATCCAGAGACCTCTAGCTTCATCACTTACGATGGGTCGATGACTATCCCGCCCTGCTATGAGACGGCGAGTTGGATAATAATGAACAAGCCTGTATACATAACCAGGATGCAGGTGAGCTTCACTTGGGTTCTTTAGCTAATGGGAAGAAAGGGTGAGGACTGGATGAGTAGGTTCTGAGGCTGCGGTGCTGATTTAACTGGGATTTGTGCAGCCGTAAAGCACAAACTGGGTGGCATGACCAACAGAAACCTGTTTGCCTCAGTTCCAGGGGCCAGAGACCCAGATGAAGGCCTCAGAAGGGTTGGTTCCTTCTGAGAATGTGAGAATCTGCTCCATGCCTGGTCCCTGACTTCTGTGGTTCACCAGAAATCTTGGTGTTCCCTGGCTCGAGATGTGCCACCCCCAGTCTCTGCTCGCTGTGACTTGGTGTCCTCTGTGTGGCTGCATCTCTGTCCCAATCCGCCTAAAGCGCTAACCCCAATTACTTCATATTAACTTTGCTGATTGCATCAGAAGTAGGCCTACTTCCGGGTAAGGTCACATCCCAAGTACTACAGATTTCCGGTACCTTCAGTTCATGAGTTTGGGCATACACAATTAAACCTGCAACACCTGTGTGGATAGAGTCAGCCTCTGAAGTGCACTAATCTGAACTGTGAAGACACTCCACCTGCCTGAGGGAAGTAAGACTGCAGAGTCAGTGCCAAAATCACGCTCTGAGATAGAGTGTTCAGCGAACAGATAGAGGTGCAAAGGGATACAAAGGCAATGGCTCACTCCTGCAACCCCGGCCCTTGAGAAGCTGAGACAGGAGGATGACCACAAGTTCTAGGCCAGCCCAGGTTACAGAGTGGGTACCTCTCTCAAAAACTTAACAATTTTTAAGCTAATTTTTTAAACCTATATAAACTAAAGCAAACCTCGGCGGTAGAGTGCTTACGCTACATGGATGAGAGAGACCCTCGGTTCATTCTCTAGCACTAGAGACAGTAAAAAGAACCTTGGGATGTGACCTTACCCGGAAGTAGGCCTACTTCTGATGCAATCAGCAAAGTTAATATGAAGTAATGTTGATTTCATGATGAAGGGACTTCTCAGATCTTTTAAAAAATAATGTGTATGTCAGTCTCCAAGCAGAGGTAACATGGTGCACAGCATCTCACAAACGTGCTTTGAATGTGGGAGTTTTTAAATCTCATTTCAGATAGTCTATTCCTCAGCACGGCACGGGAACCAGCCTGTGCCGGCTTTGCTCAGTGGCTTGTTATGCACTCCAGGCTTGCCACCCTCCCCTTCCCCATGATGAGGGTAGATTGCATGCATCTGTTCCAGCTCCGATATCTAGAAAGCCTCAGAGGGAAGATGGGCAAGTGAGGCAGAATCCCATCTTCTTGGCAAGATCTATGTTTACAACCTGACAACATGAAGTTCCCAGTCCCTGATCCTGTCGGGACTTGTTGGATGGCAAACAGTAACAATTCCTTCCCATCACTCAAACTCAGAAGAGGGACATATTCAAAAGATACTGGAGTATCCTAGAGAGTTCAAGGCCAAAAACTGATTGGGGAAAGGGGGGGCTCTCCACTCTCCTCCTCCTTCCCTCTTTCTCTCTCTTTGTCTCCTCCCCTTCTTCATCCTCTCCTCCTTCTTCTCCCCCTCTTCTCCCACTCCTCTTCTTCCCTTCCTCCTCCTGCCCCTGCTCATCCTTCTCCTTCCCCTCTCTTCTCCATCTCCTCCTTCTTCCAGTTGTTTGCTTTATTCTTTTTTGCTCCACAATCTTATGGTCAAACAGCCCAGGTATCCACAAGAAAGAAATTGCACTGGTCCAGCTTAGTTCAGTGAACCAACCACTATGTCCTGGGTAGTAACCATGTAGGGTCAAGGTATCTGAGACAGCAGAAACCGCTGCCTGGGTACCTTTGAGGATACAATGCTTTGAGGAAGCAATGACTCGTTTGAAGTCCATGAGCTAGCAAGTTAGATGCAAGTGTCCTCCATGTCTAAAGGCATCTGTGGACCTTCACCTCAGCTCCGCTGGGAGAAGGGGCTCTGAGGACCCGTGACCTTTCCCAGATAATCTGATGTTACCTGACCAGGCAACAGCCCACTTGACCTTTCTTCCCCAGCACATTCACAGAGTGGCTGGATCTCACAGCTGTTTCTCTCCTCAGATGCATTCCCTACGCCTCCTCAGCCAGAATCAGCCATCGCAGATCTTTCTGAGCATGAGTGACAACTTCAGGCCTGTCCAGCCACTCAACAACCGCTGTATCCGCACCAACATCAACTTCAGCTTACAGGGGAAGGACTGTCCTAACAACAGGGCCCAGAAGCTGCAGTACAGAGGTGAGTACAGTGGCCCCTGGAGTAGCGCCCAGGCCAGAGGGCCATCTTCTAGCTTAGGCCTATCTCCCATTGTAGGAACTCTGGATGGTAAAGTCACTGCCACACCCATTTGCAAGGTGCTTCTCTATTAGCAAATTCTGTGTGTCATACATAGATGAAGGAGATGAAGCTTAGAGGCTTTATTTATGTGATGTAATGTTAATGTGTACAGATGTTTAACATCACATGTATCAAACCTTTGCATCTCCTCTGGTTTGGGCAAAAACAGTCCTTTCTATTGACATTTTATCAGAGAGCTCAGAAAACCTGATTTCCCCAAGGCCGTTTTAGGACAGAGCAGTAAGAAGCATTGGAGGTTTTAGCTATGTGTCCCCTTAAAAGGGATGGAATGTTCTAAATGCCACATTGAGCTAGGGTCGAATGAGTGAGTAGTCATATCTTTGTCCAGTGCCATGTTCCTATAAGCAGTTATTATTCCTACTAAAGGAGGCACTTAAAATGACATCTGTCTCCTGTGCCTGGCTGGTCCACACTCAAGCTTCTGTCTTTTCTTCTACATACTGACTGGGCATCCTTCAGCCATCATGGCAAACTCCCAGTGTGCAAAGGGAGGTCAAACAGGACATTGTTCCAGTGATGTCCTGCACTAAGAGTCAAGACATTCAAGGATCTACCTTTAACAAGCCATTTGACGCCAACCTGGGCTTTTCCCACTGTTTCTGCTCTCTTCCTAGTGATCTTGACAGTCACCATAGCTTGCGCCTGAATGGGGAGTCCTTTATAACAATGACATGGTCCCCAAATACAAGGACTGTGGTCATTTCCAGAAAGCTTTGGAAAACAGCTACCACTGCTGCCCCTTAACCTCAATGGCATTGGTCCTCTTTCCTCTGAATTCCTTCCATCCTTTTTTCTCTCTTAGACACTCAGGAGGATGACTAAAGTATAGAGTCCTTGCTCCCTTTCAGCCACAACTACTGAACAAATACCTGATTCTATCATTGACCCTTCTCAGTATTCCTCACTGATTTATTGGGCACCTACCATATATCAGGCACTTAGGTAGTGGTGGTGGTTCAGTGGTGATGAAGATAGATATGACCCTAACCACAGAGAGGTGGTGATCTAAACCAGGGTTTGGCACTTTTAGTATAAAGAAGTAGCAATCAAACATATTAGTTGGTGTAGGTCAGATAGTCTCTGCCTCACTCCAGTGAAGTAGTATGAAGTCAGCCATAGGTAACATGCAAATGATGTGGCATGAAATCAGCTATAGCCAATATGCAAGTAAATGGGGGGCGGGGGAATGTGTTCAATTGAGGCTGTTAACTAAAGTTTTCCTATCTCTGGTCTAAACCAGTGACCCCCACTAGAACTTTCTACATGACAAAAATAGTCTACACCTGTCTCAGCTATTGAACATTTGAAGTGTGACTAGCTTGATGACTCAAGGACATTTATTCTTTTCATTCACTTGGCTTCACAGTAGCCACCTGAAGATCTTGGCTGGCATTCTGGAAAACACAAATCTAGAAAGCCACAGGGCAGGGACTAGTCATGACGCTAATCAACAAGCAGGCGTTTAGAAGACAGCCCCTTCCCCTTTTGAGTAGGTCGCTTGCACTGTACGCACATTAATTCAGCTGTGCCTTGTTTTGTGTTGTGTGTATGTGTGTGTTCGGTGTTGTTTCTTTCTCTCTTTCCAGTAAACGAATGGCTCCTCAAGTAGGGAACTAAGCCAAGAAGAATCCCACCTCAGTGAAATTCTACAACTGTGAATTGACGTAACCCAGAATGCCCCCTCTTTCTTCCTTCTCCTTCCTCCCCTAAGCCTTTCACTCTTTGGATTGGCCCCTTCTTCATGAAAACTGTTTGCAAAAATGTGTCAGAAGAGTTCATCTCTACACACACACACACACATATGTAAACACAAGTACACACACATCCATACCACCTCCAGGATGGGAAGTCAAGTCTCAGAAACAGAGGTTCCTTCATCAAAGGTCTTAGAAGAAAACAACCAGTTAACCTGATTACAATTTTGATACTGTTTTCCTGAACTAATAACTATCCAATGAGACTTCTCAGCCTTTGTACATACAAAAATTCTTCTGAAAGAGAGAGGGGAGAAAACACTGTTCCAAAAGCATCAAGTGGACTCTGTATCCCATCATCCCTGACGATGTCCTAGGATACCCTGAGGATGCTGGTGACAGGTGAACCAGGACAAAGCTGACCAAGGACACTTATTTCTAGATTACAATTCTTCTGTTTACTCAATGATTTAAAAAGAAAATATTCAAAAAAAAGGACATACATCAAAGAGCTATATGTTGTGTATATATATATCACCGCAGACTATAAGAATGGAATTATTTCCCTCTTTGTCACATAACCGTACTAGGATTTGCCCGAGATCAGAATTGATCCATTTGCTGTTTCTTGTTTTCTGAAGGTCATACATTGTGTTTGGTTATTGTTAACAGCCCAATAAATGTGTTTAATGCGTTGATTTCATTTTTCTGGCTTTGGTCTGTTCTCCTTCCTGCCAGGCTAAGCCCTAGCCCCATGCAGCTACCTTCTTGGATCTCCCGTGGTTCCTTCACCCTCCATGTTTTGTTCATTTGCAGCCAGTTTTACTGAGTTTGTGGCAAGCAGGAATGCACTTGCTAAGCAGGTATGCCTTTAGTCCCACTCCATGGCTCGGTCATTCATCCCAGGTGAGCTTCGGCCTGATATAGTAGGCGACAGATTCCTTGCGTTTCAAAACTGCCATTCCCCGCCCCCCAACCCCTGTGATGCTCCTGAAGGAATGCACTTTGCCTTGTAAATTCCTGGGAAATTGGGGTATCTTTTCTCTCCAGGTGCAGCCAGATCTCACAAAGTACAAACGAATGCCTTTCTTTTCTTGTTTATAATGGTCACTCACTGTGTTTGGTTACTGTCAAAAAACAAAATCAATAAATGTGTTTAACGAGTTGCCCAATGCCCATGTCTGAGTTTATTGAGAAGGAGGATGCTCTCTGCTGAAGGTCCCTGAAGAGTCCTGCTGAGTCCACGGAGCAATTGCATCCAGCCAGCAGGGTAGTCAGAGCTGCCAGGACAGGCTGTCTAGCCAGTCCCAGAACCAGGTAATTAATACCCTGTTGAGAAAACATATAGGCTTAGCTGCTGAAAGGGATGACTTGGATGTTCGGTTGGTTGCCAAATTAAAAATAACTTTCATCTCTCCTTCCCGTCACAATGTCCAGCAGGAGGGGGCCACTGCTGGGGTGGGTTTGTACAAACAGCACTGACAGGGTAGGGGTATTGGAAATCCCACCTAGGGGCAAGGTATATCCGTAATGAAAAACTCAAACAATCAGTTACCTCATAATTAAAATACAGTGCTAAGCTGGATTTTTCTTCCGAATCTTTGCAGTTAGAGGACAACCTGAGCCATGTGGGTATCTAAGTGTACTTCTAACTTATCTGCAAAAGGTTTTGGGTGAGCAGGAAGCAGCCTTAGGTTGTGTGGCTGGCTGGCTGGCTGCTCCGTGGTCACCGTCTCCCCTCACCTGTGGTGGTCGCCAGCGAGGGAGAATGACATTGAACAGTGTGCATGGAAATGGACTTCACTCTGCTCTCTGCCTACCGCACGACCCTGTGTAGGTTACGGTACCCTGGAGATAGGAATACCTATTCTATGTGTCCTGTCAATGCAAAAACAAAAACAAAAACAGCTATTACCACCGAAATAAGAGTTTATTCTGGAGCCAAATTTGAGTGACCACGGCCTGGGAAACAGATCTGGTTCATGACATGGAAGCAGTTCCATCATAACAAAGCAGAGATAGGCATAAATCAGGCAAATGTAAAATACATCGGTGGCTCTATCAGAATGGTAGTTACAAGCACTGGGCATTGGTGGCGCATGCTTTTAATCCCAGCACTTGGGAGGCAGAGGCTGGTGAATCTCTAGAGTTCGAGGCCAGCCTGGTCTACAGAGTGAGTTCCAGGACAGCCAGGGCTGTTACACAGAGAAACCTTGTCTTGAAAAAAAAAAAGAAAGAAAAAGGAAGAAAGAAAGGTGGTTACAAGAAGAGGGAATCTCTCCTATGGGCCCCAGATGTTAGCTGATGACATTCTTAGCTTTGGAGTTAGCTAGTGATCTACTAAGTTAAATTCAAAAAGGGGTTTTACCTACTTGTCACAACATGTCAGTTCTGACACAAAGGTGGGCAAAGAATGGCTTTCTAGAGGGCTAAAGCTAACCCAAGATAAGGTAATTAGGCTCTGGGCCTGCAACATTCCAACCTCTCCACATCACTGCAGTTCCAGTGTATCAGTATTTGCAGACCCAGCTTCTAAATAACCATTTATGACAGTACAATATCTGTACTTGGCTGCTCTGGAAGTGATGATCAGGGAGCATTTGTGTGGCCTACTCACCAGAAGTTTATCCAAATCATACCATGCCTCCCTTCCCAGGAAGGGGTTTATATTGATCACCTGGGGACACCAGACTAACATCAAGAGGCACAGGTGTTCTGCAGGCAGGATAAAGAGGTGTTAAGGAGGAAGAAGGACCGCAGGACCTGAGCTCCCAGGCCCTTTTCTGCGTCCTTGGTGAATTCGAGCAAGTCTGCTCATCTCCCTGGGGCTGGGGCTAGGACACAACAACCTCCCATGCCCTTCCCACAATGGCATCCCCCAACTCAGGTCTCTCTCTCAATCTTTTAATCAAAGGTGGGGGCATATTAAGGAAAATCCAAGTGATCAGCTGCCCCTGATGTCCCTGGGCCTTGGAAGAATTTCTCCTTAACTGACTGAACTTGAAATGGGACAAACTGGTATCTATCTTCCATCTTTGAGACCGATTCAAAAAGGCCCTTCTTCACAATCCACAGGGGTTCCTAAAGTATAAGGCAGGAGAGCAGACATTTCACCTTCAAACCAAATAGGAGCAATGAGGATGAGCTAGACTGTGATGAGTTCACTTCACAGGATGCTTATCTAAGCATGCACGAAGCCCTGTGTTCAATCTCCAGCATGCTGTAAACTGGACATGGTGACTCATTCCTATAATACCAGCAATGGGGGGGCGGGTAGAAGTAGGAGAATCAGATGTTTATGAGTTTGAGACCAGTTTGGGCTACATGAGACCTTGTATGAAAAAAAAAAAAATGAAGAAGAGGTTGTCCTTTTTTTCAGATCCAGTTGGGTTTGACACAGGGCCTCTCTAGGTAGCCCAGGCTCACAATTCTGCTGCCACAGCCTTCCCAGTGACTGGATTAAGGCCTGAGCCACCACACTGGTCCTCAAGAACAAAAAGTGTCTGAAGTGGCAAAAATCCCCTAGAACTTGGCCTGGTGAGGACATCAAGGAGCAAAAGTACATGAACACATTTTTCCATCGAGGGAGCTGAGGATGGAGTGGGCACGGTGTGCCATGTTCTGGGGAATTTGCCTGACACCTGGCTTCAACTGTCAGAGCCCTGGCTGGTATGGATGTCCCTTTCTTCTGGGAGGGATCTGGGGGTGTGCTGACTCTCATTCTCTTCCTATCAGACCCGGGGAAAAGGGTAAACATGAATGCAGGAGCAGGAAGAGAAAACTGAATGATAACAAAGAGAAGACTGAAAATTTGCAGTTGTCTCTGGGGAACACATTTTCTGTTTCTAAGGTCATTGGAGGCCTTGTTCCCATCTTTCTAGGTAACAGTTTGGTTTCCATGGTGACAACAGGACAACCAGCACAACTGGCTGCACTAAATGTCCCTGTGTGATAGTGACCTGGAATCCAGGCAGGAGAGCTATGCATGGGCTGGAGTCTGATAGACCATGTGGCTAAAACACCACCAACACCCCTGGGGTGGGCCCTTCACGCTGAAGCCCAGAGTACTTACATCTATACCAGTGTCCTAGTTTTCTTGCTCCAGAAAGCTTAAGAGTAGGATTCTGGGAGCCCAAACTCATTCTCATACCATCAACGACTAGCCACTTGAACATAAGGAAAGATCTGCCAAACCTCCAGCCAAAGAAACGTTTGTAAGTCACATCCAGAAAGCAGGCCCTATGCTGTCTGTTTCCATCCATCTCATTTCGCCCACTCAGGGACCTGAGACATAATCCCCAATGTTGTTCCCATATCATAAATGCAGAATGACCAACTCAGGGATGCATGCTCATCAGCAGGAAAGCCAGCCTCAGCTCTTTCAAAAGCCTGTCTCCAAACACCAGTGTCCCCTGGGACTGATGAAAACTGCAGTTCATCAGCTCACCGAAGAGCTGTTCACACTCTGAGGATGAGGCCCAGCAAGGCCAAATGAGCCTGATGCCCACTCATGTGTGAGAACCACTGTCAATCAGATGTCCATTCCTGCTAACTCCTGCTCTAGAGGGGCTCAACTTGCTACGTGTTAGAATTACTTAGGCATAAAACCCTCCAGCTTCATCCATGTTATAGAGGTGCTATGGGTCCCCTCCTTTTGTTGTATTTTAATTATTTTTGTTAGCATACAAAACAATGGATTTCATTATAGTACTTCCATGCATATGCCACTGTGCTTATTCTTATTCATCTTTCTCCCCCACAGTCCTCCCTTCCCCCCTCTTATTGGTCCCTCTCCTCTCCCCAATTAGTCCCTCCCTCTGCTTTCATATCATATGTGTTCCATAATCCTCTTATTCCTCACTCCCCCCCACCTTATGATTGTTGTGGTCCTGAGGAGGTATGTCACTGGGGGTGAGCCTTGAGGCTTCAAAAGCCCACACCATTCCCAGTACTCTCTCTTTCTGCCTCATGGTTGTTGTCTCAAGATGTGAGCTCTAAGCTACTGCTCTAGTGCCATGCCTGCCTGCCTGCTGCCATGTTCCCCACCATGGTGGTTATAGACTCTAACCCTCTGCAATCATGAACCTCAGACTAAATGTTTTCATTCATAACTTGCCTTGTTGATGGTGTTTTGTCACAGCAATAAAGTAGTAAGATGCCTTTCCCTTTAGATCTCTTTCTTCCCTTTTATTTCCCCATTTCAACTATTGTGCCGTGTGTGTTTGTGTGCCTGTCTCTGTGTGTGTGAGTGTGTGTGTGTGTGTGTGTGTGTGTGTGTGTGTGTGTGTCTGTACCCAACACAGATCACCACTCCCAATTACTCAGCTTGCAGAGTTTCTCCAAATTGATTTGAACAAACAAAAACAAGCTGTGAGTCAGGTGTTTGGGAAGATGAGCTATGCACATAATTAAATAAAAGTCACAGGTGAGTTCCAGCCCTGTCAACTCTTACTTCATTGTGTTTTTCCCTGACATTGCTCCCTCCCCATACTACCGCAGCCCTGGGTCCAGCCTTGTCCTACCCCTCATCATCTCAGGCCCAAACTATGGCAATATCCATCCAACAGGTTGCTGCCTCTAGTTTCTAGGTAGGTGAAAGTCTCTGGATACCGAGAACCCAAAAATACCAACACTGCTTGAAACAAGAACCTGAGTTCACTTGGAAGAGAGGTTGGGTTTGGGCCTGGTAGAGAACCAAACAAAACACTTTCTATGGGTATGGATGCAAAACTAAGCAGAAAATCTGATAGACTGTCCAAGTTGATTTGATAGTGAAACAGATTTCAGGTACAGCACACACTGGGCAGATTGTATCCAGAGCTTAAATGGAATGAGGAGTCACCAAGGAGCTTTCTGAGAGGATGGAGACCTAGACATTGCCAACCCACCCCAATCTCATATCTGGTGCCAATAAACCAAAACCTTCAACCTGAGTTCATCGTCCAAGACTAACAACTTCAGGGGTCCCCAGCGGTTTGGGGGCTAAAGGATCAAGTTCTTTAGCAAAGTCTTCATTAATGAGTTCTCAGCAGAGGTAAATAAATGCAAGTCTGGGTCCGCCTGTGCAAGAGGCCAACAATCCCAGATTCTTGGCTGTTATCCAGATACCTGCATTCTCCAGCCATCTGGCCGCATGTCACCACCCAGCTTGGAATTTTCTTTCCAGTTCTTC